TTTTTTAAATTTTGTTTAATTTTACTTATTACACTATTTTTAAGTTCTTTTTCGATTATTCCCGGTTTAAAGAAATCGTTGCATTGATCTTGTAATTTTGTGAAAATGTCTTTGTCATCAGAAGGAAAGTAAGTGGTGTACAAAATGGAAAGATAATGAGTGGGTTTGAGCGAGGGTTGAGAGATGGTTTCGATGAACGAAAGAATGCAGTCTTCCCATGGGATAGAGATCTTTTCTTTTTTTTCTTCCATTTCAGTTTGAAATATTGAGGGTGATTTTGAAAATGATGTTCAATGTTTCGATTAGGGTTTTAGAATGCTTATATACCTATGGTAATTAATATAGATAGAAATTTGTTTTTTATTTGTGATCACAAATCGACAAAAGAGGAACGAATCAACATGAGTCGAAAATTCCAACTTTTTATAAGGACAACTGTGTAAGTGGTTCACAGAACTTTATCTCATGAAACGATGCCCGAATTTTTTTTTTAATAAAACAATTGAATGGTGCACACTCACGATCCTGCATAACTCTATAACTCCATACATGTCGTGTCGACCGAGTGTGATAGGTAAAAATTTGGCAAACATTACGCACTTTGTATTACATGATATTCTTTTAATACCAAAAATGTACTCACGAATACATCATGTGCACTTTGTGCACGTTCACGTGTTCAAATGAATTTCTCTTTTTTTTTTAAGTAGGAAGAAGTAAAAAGTATGCAACCGAAAATGGTACGATTCAATAGAAAATGGTACAATTCAATAGAAAATGGTACGATTCAATAGAAAATGGTAAGATTCAATAGAAAATGTGCAAAAAGCTTTTGTTAAATTGTCAGGGCATGTCCTTTATCATAACTTTTACCACTAAACTAAGAAGGTCATTATGGTTTACCCCAACTGGTAATGTTTAAGGGTCATTTCTAGATTTCTTGGAATATTTGACTTTTCTTTCGTCATTTCTTCTGTCTAAAATGAATTTAAGAAAGGGATTTTTTGCCCAAAAAGAATATTTGACATGTATTATTATGTGTGCTCGTGTGGGAAGAGTTTGAGAATATACGTGTAACACCGTACCAAAAAAAAAAAACCAGATTTAGTTTACACGACCGGTTACTCTACTAGGAAATTACAATAGATATTCTTTTCGTGGCTTTCGTGGCGCCAATATTAATTTGCATATTTCGGAATTGGAATAACTGAATGATGCATAACTTGCGTTATGTAAAAATTTTTTTTTCTTTGGGGTATTGTTGATGGGAAATTCAGAAACTTTATAAATAATGGACGTACTTCGCGCAACGGTAACTAACTGAATTTGAAATTGCAAATGCATTTTTAAGGTTAAAAAAATAATACAGTAGATATTTTTTGTTTGACTAAACCAATTTTCCTCGAAAAAAGCCTTGTCATCCCGTATTGATCTGGAGCGAAGCCTTTGAAAAATTTATTAGAGACTACTATCAATATTACATAAACAATTTAAACAATGACCTCTTTAAATCCTGTTGAAATTTCATCATCCGTTGAAAAACCAATAAAAATTATTGCATCATGGGAAGAACGAATATCCACGTTCGTCAATGCCATCTCGAAACCGACTACAAAAGCCGGTGAACTCCTTACTACCCTTCTCGATACCTTTTTCCCCAATGGCGTCACTCCCAATTACGATCAATCCTCTTCAGACTCTCTGAAACCCGACATATTCACTCAACTCATCACGCTATGCGACACTAAAGCTTTAACAGATCATGGCGTGATTAATAAGGCTCTTGCAACCAGTCATCTCCACGAAATCCATCAAAACCTACAGTCATACTGTGATGAAAAAGGTGTACGATCGGTGTTTATGAAAAAATTGGTCGAGTTGTGTGATGACTTCTACAAATCGATGACTGATAACGCGAGACGTGATGTAGTGCAATTGTTACCTGTAATGATTACTTTTGCGTTCTTACACTTGGCCGTGCTCCGGGAAAGGAGTACGTGTAAAACGGTTTGTCATTTAAATCTTCGTCGTGATGTTCGATTCTTTCGTCATGAAAAAGTGTGAACATAAAAAATAATAATAATAAATTGGCATTTCCTTTAGGAAATATT